TTGATCAATTTTGATTTACTTAAATGTTATGATGTGTCACCTGTGACGCTGCATTCTCATTACTTAGTCACGAAGTGCTTGCCTCACTTTTGGGAGGTTCAACAATTTCAGCATACACTTCGTGACTGGCAATTAACTTTAAATAGCATGATGCGCTTAGGTGGCAACCGCCCAGCACTCGCTCACCTTTGGTTCTTACCACATTTTACAGAAAAATTTAGTAATTCAGAAACCAGTAGCTACAAGTAAACTTAATATAACTACATATCTTATGAACATTTATCATCTCTCGTTTTATAAAATAAACCGGTAGGGCTTTTACTGGTTATAATTGTAATTTGTTATGGTATTTCTATCTTTTTAAGGCTACAATGCGTGTGTGTTTGCCTACGGCCAAACAGGCTCCGGCAAGACTTTCACCATGATGGGCACACCGAACAATCCTGGCCTTATACCTCGCATCTGCGAAGAACTATTTATGCGCATGCGTGTGGGCCAGGAATCGGGCACTGGTTATAGGACACATGCCAGCTATCTGGAGATCTACAATGAGAGGGTCAAGGATCTGCTGGCGGCACAAAGCACTGGACATGGTCTAAGGGTTCGTGAACATCGTAGCCTGGGTCCTTATGTGGAGAACCTGTCGCAGCACGCCGTCTCCGACTTTGATGAGATTCAAGTGAGTTACTGAAACTCTGGACAACTGAACATTTTTTGTAAATCCTTGATTTAACCTTATTTAGGAATGCATTGCCCGGGGAAATGCGCAACGCACCACGGCCAGCACCAACATGAACGATACGAGCAGCCGCAGTCACGCCATCTTCACGATCACATTTGTGCAGGCGGTTTTCATGAATGACATGCCAAGCGAGACAGTCTCGAAGATCCATTTGGTCGATTTGGCAGGCAGGTGCGTAAGCGTAAACGTAAGCGGAGCATGAAGCTCTGCTCTAAAAACATAGGGTAAAAGTATATTTCGTCAATTTTTGGAAATACCAAATCCAAAATAAAGTAACTATGTCCTAAAAAAGCTATCATCCCCAGAAGTATTAATCGATTTGGCTTTATGTCACAAGAAAATTTCTTATTTCAGTCAAAAGTTTTTTTAAATGGGTTTGTGTAAAAAGTTTTTAGAGTGCAACTGCATGATTTATTTTTTAATACATTCTCCCTCACTCTTTTATTGCATTTTTCAGTGAGCGTGCCAATGCAACGGGGGCAACGGGTCAGCGTCTGAAGGAGGGTGCCCACATCAACAAATCGCTGGTAACTCTGGGTAGCGTGATTTCGGCTCTAGCGGAGCAGACGAGTGGCGGTCACAACAGTAGCAGCTCCGCATTGGCCAACACACCAAATGGGGCCAGTAAGCGGGTGCTCTACATTCCGTATCGCGACTCCATCCTCACGTGGCTGCTGAAGGACAGTTTGGGCGGCAACAGCAAGACCATCATGATTGCCGCTCTTTCGCCGGCAGATTGCAACTACAGTGAGACCCTCAGCACGCTGCGGTATGCGAATCGGGCAAAGAACATCATTAACAAGCCTACGGTGAACGAGGATACCAATGTCAAACTGATCCGGGAGCTCAGGGAGGAGATCAACAAGCTCAAGTCCATGTTGTCGGGGGATATTGTAAGTAGTTGTCAAGAGATTATGTATACTTCAAATTAACCCTTGGTTACATTTTCTTTTAGCATTCCCTGCAACCATCGCTCAAGGTTTTGGCCGATCTCCAAAAGAAGGAGGCTCAAGAAAAAGTACTCACCGAGGAATGGACGGAGAAATGGAAGGTGGCCCAGTCCATTTTACAGGAGCAAAAGAGTCTGGGTCTTCGCAAATCGGGCGTGGGCGTGGTTCTTGACTCAGAAATGCCGCATCTAATTGGCATTCATAACGACGTGACCACCGGAGTGACTTTGTACAGCCTGAAGGAGGGCGAGACCCGAATTGGCAGTGAGGATGCGGATTTGGCGCAGGACATTGAGTTGGCCGGTGATGGAATAAGGGCGCAGCACTGCAGCATTGTACTGAAAGGTGGTGTGGTCACGCTTCATCCCTGGCCTTTGGCCCAGTGCTGGGTGAATGCTCACCTAATTGACGAACCCAAGCAGATCTCGCAGGGCGATATTATATTGCTGGGCCGAACCAACATCTTTCGCTTTAACAATCCCGCCGAGGCTGCAAAGCTTAGGAAGGATTTAAGTCGCTCGCAGCTGGACATGTCGCGGCTGTCGCTTATCACCTCGTCCAAAGAGAACTTGCTGACCTGCAGCATATACTCGGACGAGGATGGGGCATCACCTTATAAACGCCCAGAACGCCAGTATTATCCTCAGCGTCCCATGTCGCGAGACGATCCCGAAATGCAAGATGAAAATAGAAAAATTCTTGATACGATCGAAAACGCTTTAAAGCAGCTCAATGTGGTAAGTGGTTATATTAATTTTTTAGTCGATTTCAATATTAACAATTTATTTTCCTATATTTAGGAACGCGTCCAGATGCACGACCAATACAAAACCAAAGTGCGTAAGCTAACCGAAGAGCTTATTCGCCTGGAACAGCAAGAAATGGATGGACTGCAGGTTTTGAATTGCCGGGAACAGGAGTTAGTCGCTCGCAAGGATATGCTGCTATGGGAGAAGAACAACGAGAAGGTTCAAGTGAGTCTATCCGATCCGATCCGTTTGATTGCATGTCACCTTTAATTCTTCTTGATATGAATGGATTGATCATTGTGCTTGTTATATTGCCTGTTATCTTTTATTGTTTTCCTTGTTTTTGCTTTGTGTTCCTTACGATTTTCTGTTCGTTCCATTTTCGTTTTAGATCGACATTGTGTGTAGACAAATTTCAGCGTTTCAGACGCAGCTCGACTCTAAGAAACGAGATTTCTCTGAGTATGTAGCAAAAGAATTGCAGGAACTGCAAGATTGTGGCAAACTGGACGAGGTTTGTTTGTTTGTTTAGAATTTCTTTGCCTAGAGATTAGAATAGAATACAATAACCATTTATAAAATGTTATGATAAACAAACGTATTTTTTAAAACGTATTCACAGATGGGCATGAAGATCGAAGAGGGCACTCCCCTGAACGATGAGCTGCTATTGCAGGTGTCAGATTCCTTGGATTTGTTTGCAGCGCAGTTTATAAAGGACACTGTGCGCAGAAATGTATGTATAATTATCAACTAATCAATAAAAGTTTTCATAACTACAATTAAACGACTTTAGAACGAGGAAATCCGCAAATTGGATGAACAAATAGCCGAAAAAGAGCGAATACTCAATGCCAGCACTACAAAAATAGCCAAGGTCGATGAGACTATGCTAGAGATCCAGGCCCAGCTGGAGCGCCTACGTCTGGAACGCACCGAAAGCGAGACTGAGTCTCAGGCGATGCGCGCCAGGAAGCAGAACATGAAGCTACAGTTGGCCAACAAATCCATGTCCACCTCGACCAGCACAAACGAGGCTGACGATGTGTCCAAGTCGGACACGTATGAAACCTGTGATACCTTCCACACCGCTCAATCAAACTTGTCGCTCGTTTCATCGCCCACGATCACCGAAGGCCAGCAGTCGCCGCTCAGCAATTGTTCCTGCGATGCAGAGGACGAGGCGGAGGACACACGCAAGGATGATCTTTCGGGTAGCAGCGAGGAAACCTCACGCACCTGCACCGCTGGTCCCAGCAGTGGAAGTGGAAGCGTTGGCATCGGTGGTTCCGGCTCTGCGCCCAGTGCCACACCCAGTTCGCAGGCCATCATGAGCGATAGCGGTGTCTGCTTGGATACTCGTAATCAGGCGCTCCTCCAAAATGGACACCTCAACAACTACAAACAAGGAGTGCGAACCAGCGACGAAGACACCGGTTCCTGCTCCTCCTGCGAGCTCGGACGGCACTCGGACGTATCCCGCCCCTATTGTCCGCTTCATTCGCTGCGAAGAAAGATCGCTGCTCAAAAGGCACTTATCATGAAGAACCTGGAAACGGACTTGAACAAGCCCCAGTTGGATGAGCACATTGCAGATTTGCAGGATCTGCAGCGACGTTACATACATATGGAGCAGGAGATGCTGCAATCGGTGCAGGATTTGGAGGCGCATGCCCAATGCTGTGCCGACGAGCGATCCGGCATGGAGCGACAATATGAGTTGGCCAGCTCCATCATGCGCTCGAGTGTGATGAGTCCCACAAGCATGGAGGAGTCCACCTCACAGATCTATTCGCCCAGCATGACACGGTCCTGCCCATCCATGCGCGAGTTTCGTAAGTATTTTGTGGGATATTTTTGAGAATTTCATACCATTACCCTTGCAGTTTGTTAAACTCATTGGGATCCCAATTTTAAATATACACAATTGTTAGTTCAAGTTTTTAATTAATTTCCAAATTTATTTCAGCTGAGGGCGAACACTTTATTACCATCCCGAGTTTTGTGATGCGGGGCGCCGGCAAGCAAACGCACTACGAATACGAGGTTCGCATCGCTCTGCCCGATGGCAAGTTGAACATTCTGCGGCGATACAGCCGCTTCAGGGAGCTGCACCTGTGCATGAAGCATTGCTACGGGGCCAAGGTAATAAAACTGGTAAAAGAGAAGTTTTTTACATTTAATAAATAAAATATTTTCACTAGATCTCAGCTCTGCCCTTTCCGCGACGAGAGCTCTTCGCCTCGAACAGCGAGCCGGTGGCCAAGCATCGGCGTCGTCTGCTAGAGCTATATTTGCGACGCCTATTCGTCGTCTGCTCGAAGATTCCACAGTGCCCGATCTACGAGGGTCCCGGAGGACCGGGCCTCACCCGCGCCTCCCTCGTCCAGCTGTCGTCTTTTTTCAAGAAGGGCCTGTTCGAGAACGGCAAGCACGGGACGGGATAATAGTTAACCTACTGCTGAATTATCTCCTGCCTACAGTGTGTCTTTTTATTTACTTGTACTACCTGTTAAGCTATATGAACGACAACATGGACCTGTTTTGATAAGCTAGCCCGAACTACTGTGTAGATTAATTAGCTGTAAGCCCCGTTAGCTATGTAAGACCACCAGTGTCCTTTCTCACACCCGAGCATATATGCGACAATTTTTATACCCATTGTTATTAACTGAATCGGAGCTTTATATTGAAATCACTGTAAATGTAACTGCCAGTGGCGACGTTGCAATCTCTGAATTGTACTACACCAAGTGCAAATATGTATTCTATCTATTAGCATCGAGTTGAAGGTTTGTTTAGATGGTTTGTTGGTGTTTGCGACCAGTTTTAATTAGTTAATTATTTCTCTTTACTAGTTAAATATACGCATATAGGTGTACAACTTCCAAAAGTTATTCCAGTTATTTAGTCTGTGATTACCAACTGAAGTTATATAACACAATCCAAGCAAATGAACGTAACTGAACATTTCACGAGCGATTAATCCAACTGACATCTCCACAGTCTACAATCTTTTAGGCTTAAGCTTATTGTACAAAATTGAACACTGACGGGTCTAGGTGGGCAGATGTTTAGCAGTAGGTATTAGGTTCATTAGCCACTAAGTTTTAGGTCTTAGTCGATTCGTCGCAATTAAAGTAAACTAATTATGAGTACAATTTCCGAAAATGTAACAACATGAAATGTTCGATGTAAAAAGCATAGACTAAGTGTAATTAGAGCTAAATGCTAGTTGGTTATGAATGGTGAAATTGATCGATCGGTGGATCGATGGCAATAAGTAAAACAATAATAGCCTAGTTATAGAGAAACCTGATAGCTCCGCCCACTCAAACTGAAGTCCTTTGGGGGCAGGCCGATACTGATTTGACAACAGAGTGGTTGCTGTCTTACAAAAAAATAAATACGTAAATATATACAACTCAATGTAGTGTTCTTGATATTTATTTATTGTAGCAAGCTATGTCAGAAGTGATCTAACTTTTATGCCATGACTGTATCATGTGTAAGCTTTCCAAAATATACATGGTGTATTTTTACAATACGTAAACATCGTACATGTAGTTGCTGATATTCAACATCTTATTGTAAAACATATAGTTTTTAGAGCAAGGAAACCTCTTAGTTTATGTATGCTCTTGGGATTTTAATTGGTTTTAAAATTGTTTAAGTATTTTAAATGAATTGTTTTTGTTTTAAGCAAAATTTACGTATACACTTAAGATTGCATTGTCGATAGGTGTCGCTGTTGCAAAATGTAGATTTCATGTAAATCATATCATGTTCTAAATATCGTTTCAAAAATTTAGGTTTAATATAAATATTGTGCTAAGTTTTTAAAGTTTTTACGTTGTTTTAGTAATTGATTAAATTACACATTTACGTGGTCATTTCGCTGATGTTCATACCTACCCTATATTTCGTTTGCGCCAAAACTGGAATTTTGAATTGAACTAGAATAATGATATAGCCCAATATCGTGATCATCATCTAAAGTAAATATGTAAGTATTAAACTATGATTGATAAGACATTTAATGGCATACCCCTCCAAAATACTTGAGATTGATATTGAAGAACCCGCCGCAATTAAAATCGAGTCTTAAGTGTTGCATTTGCAAGGAGTATTCCCTTAGACCCATTTTTAACATTGGATAACCTTCAGCTGCAGTTAAGCCACCAATTTGGTGCAGAATGCGTGGGATGCTATTGTACTAAAAGATTTTATTACTATGAAATTGTATAGAAGGTATTATTTGGTCCTACGTACCGCTTTGATGCAGAGTTCACTGTAAAAGCAGGACATAAATATAGTGCTTAATAGTAAAAGATTAGTACCGACTCGCACTAAAAAAAGAAAAAAAGTTAAATTTCTTCACTGTTTTCGGTATACTTACTATATTGGCAGCAATCGTTTGGATTGATAGATTTTATGAGAGCCCAATTGACGATGTGCAGGATAGTCAGTCCGTTGAAGAGGAATAGTAGCATCATGGAGATGGTGAAGTAGACGGAAATCTCACCCACTAGCTTCCATAAGCGGCCAACCAGCAGTTGATTTCGTTTCAGAGCCACACACAGCTCTTGAATCCTCTCGCCGCAATTGCAATCCTCAAGTTCAACGTGGACCTGCTCAAGAATATGGCGCACTCGGAGAATCAGCTCGTAGATCAGAAGTACGGACAAGCAATACTCCAAGCCTTTGAATTGGTGCATCACCAGGAAGATTTCGGTGAATACTTTATTTGCCCAATGTAAGTATGGCCCCAGACCCGAAAGGGTAAAACGCGGTATTAGCCCCACGATCAGCACCATCCACAATCCAACGGAGAAGGCCAATCGGAAACGGAAGCTCCACCAGTTTCTACGACCACTAAATCCCTTCCAAGCATTATCTATCTCATGCTCCAGATCCGCAATATCCTCATAGATACGTCCGAGACGACGAAAGTTAAACATCATGTTTAGAAGGTTGCAAGTTGACATGGCCACCACGAGAACTTTCTGCGTTCTTCCCATTACTTTGCTAAAGTCTTCCACATGGAAATCATGTATTTCCTGGTGTAAGGCCACAATATTCGCATAGCACTCATAGATGACCATCAGAAGGATTGCAAAGGAGAAGGAAAAGTATCCTGCCATCAAACAGTGCCTACGCCTCTTGTGTAATGTCCTGGCAAAAAAAAGGGGCGGTGGTGTAAGTCCGAGTATGGAAAAAACCTCCAGATAGGGACGAGCTGTGGTCAGCAGACGACTCCGATTCGCTTCCATTCCCAGCCAGGTGTCAAAAGGTACTGGTATAAGGATTAAGCTTGCTTGTAAATTGCAAGCACTTTTTTTAATGAGTTTGATATGATAATCAGAAATTTTCTATAAGATAACAATGAAAAAAGTGGGGAATGCTCTTAGAAACGTAATATAAGTTCGCAAAAGGGTGCAACTGGGTATTATTTGAACAATAAACTCTGTCTAAAAACAATAAGAATCAAGAATCAATTTTCTGTAGAGTGAATTTTTTTTTAAGTTACCCTACACATTAATCTGTAGTATTGCTAATATTATGGCTATTTTTGAATAGCGCAAAAACCTCAATTTTGAATTGTACTAAAATAATTATATAGCCGAGTATAGTGATAACCATCTAAAATAGAGAGGGTGAGAAAATAGTTATATTTGCCAAGGCCATTTTTACCCCTCCAAAGTACTTGAGGTTAATGTCGAACAAACCGCCGCACGTGAAGATCAGCTTCAGGTGTTCCATTTGCAAGGAGTATTCCCTTAGGCCCATTTTAAGCATTGGCCATTTTTCAGCTGTAGGCAAGCAACCTATTTTGTGTAGAGTGTGTGTGATGCTATTGTACTGAAACGTTTTGGGGATAAGAAATAAAGTAAAACACAATTCATAGATCTGACAAACTCACAGCTTTAATGCACCATTCACTATACAAGCAGGCCAGCAGAAGATTGATCGATAGTAAAAGACTTGCCCCAAATCGCTCTAAAGGAGGGACAAATAGAGTTAACCGTCCTAGGACTCTTAGAGATGACCTACTATATTGACTGCCATCGTTCGGATCGATAGATCTTATGAGAGCCCAGTTGACCACGTGCAGGATAGTCAGTCCATTGTAGAGGATCAGCAGCGGCATGGAGAGGGTGAAATAAGAGCCAATCTCACTCACTAACCTCCAAATTCGTCCAACCTGCAGCTGATTCCGTTTCAAGGCCACACACAGCTCCTGAATCCTGTCCCTGCACTCGCACTCCTTAAGTTCAACATGGATCTGATCGAGGACATGGCGCACTCGGAGAATCAGCTCGTAGATCAGAAGCACGAACAAGCAATATTCGGGGCCTTTGAGTTGTAGTATTATCAGGATGATCTGGGTGGGTATTATATAAGCCCAGTTAAAGGATCCCGGTCGCCTAAGGGTAAAGCGGGGTATAAAAGCCACGAGTAGCACCATCCACAGTCCTACGGCAAAGGCCAATCGAAATCGTAGGCTCCACCAGTATCTCCTTCCACTGAATCCCATCCAGGCGTTATCGATCTCTATTTCCAGATCCGCAATATCCTCATAGATTCGTCCAAGACGACGATAGTTCAGGAGAATGTTTAATTGGTTGCAAAAGGCCATTGCCACGATGAGAACTTTCTGTGTCCTTCCCATTACTTTGCTAAAGTCCTCCACGTGGAACTGATGTACATCCTGGTGTAAGGCCACAATGTTCTCATAGCACTCGTAGATGACCACCAGAAGGCTTCCAAATGCAAAGCAGCCGTATCCTGCCATCAAGCACCACCTACGCCGCTTTTGCATTGTCCTGCTAAATAAAAGAGGCGGAGGAGTTAGCCCGAATACGGAGAAAACCTGTAGATAAGGACGAGCTGTTGTCAGCAGGCGACTGCGATGGGTTTCCATGACCGGTGAGGTGTTGAAAGCTACTGACGAAAGCCGGTTAACTTTCAGAGGTAATTTCCTACTACTAAGTAATTAGTTAGATAAGACAATCAGCTACTCTTGTTAGCCATAAAGCATTTTATCACAAATAAAGTCCCTCTTGAGTTCGTAGAAACATTTTGTTTAGCTATATGGTGTTATATTCACCATTACCCGTTTCTTTTTGATAATAAAAGTTGGTGCACAAACATTAAAAAATAGGTTATAGGGGCATTACATTAATGAAACAGTCGCCAGAGAATTTATTTAATAAAAATAACTTTAAATTACATGTATTTTAAATGTGTTAAGCGCTACTGTTGAGGCTTGACTTATATTTTGTTTCCGCAATCGCTTGAACCTTGAATTGTATGAGAATTATGGTATATCCCAATATAGTGATCAGCATCTGCAAAGTTATACCAATGAGCAATCAATTATTAACAAAAGTGTGGATATAGTACCCCGCCAAAGTATTGCAAATTGATGTCAAAGAATCCTCCGCAGGTGAAGCGAAGCTTCAGGTGTTGCATTTGCAAGGAGTATTCACGTAGTCCCCTGGTTAACATCGGAAAATCTGATGATACAGACAAGCAACGAATTTGGTGAAGGATGCGTGGAAAACTATTGTACTGCATATATTTAATTTAAAATAAATATAGGGATAGATGTTTATCTTATAGTCGACTTACAGCATTAATGCACCGCTGACTAAGAAGGCATGCCATTAACAAGTTGAATAAAAGAATCAAGCAAGTTCCGAACCGGTCTGAAAAATGGTAAAAAGAACGTGATTAAGAGAATTGTGATTTAAGTATTTTTTTATACAAACCATAGCGACAGCAATCGTTTTCGATGAATGTGTTGATATATGCCCAATTGAGAACATGCAGGATGGTGAGTCCGTTGTAAATAAACAGCAGCATCACGGGCAGACAGAAGTAGCTGCCCAGTTCGCTCTCCAGTCTCCAAATGCGGCCAATAAGTAGCTGATTTCTCTTGAGAGCCACACATAGAGCTTGGAGCATATCCTGGCGATTGCAGTCCTCCAACTCCACCTGCAGTTGATGAAGGGTATGGCGCAATCGCAGCACCATTTCGTGGACCAGCAGGACAAACACACAATATTCCAGGCTCTTGAGCTGCTGCATTACAATTACAAGCTCGGTGAGAATTTTACTAGGCCAGCTGACATAGGGGCCCAGGGCAAAGAGGGTGAATCGGGGCAGTAAACCCACCAGCAGAATCAACCACAGACCAACAATGATAGCCAAACGGAAGCGGAAACTGTAGCGCTGGCCATGTCCACCGAAACACTGCGAGGCTTCGTCTATATCCTTCTCCAGATTTGCAATGTCCTCATAGATTCCGCCAAGGCGACGATAGTTAAGCAGCATGTTTAGTTGATTGGCAATGGCCATTACAGAAATCAGGCTCTTCTGTATGATACCCATTACTTTGGTAAAGTCGGCCACATTATAATCCAAGACTTCCTCGATTATAGCGATTATATTTATGTAGGTTATAGAAAAGACAAACACAAGAATAGCAGCTGCATAGCACACGAATCCGCTCAACAAGTACCTTTTAACGCGTTTTTGTATGGTACTACCAAAACTTTGGGGCGGTGGCGTCTGGCCAAAAACGGAAAAGATCTGAAGATACGGAAGAGCTGTGACCAACAGGCGACTCTTTTTTGCTACCATTTCAGGTGAGTATTGAAAACGGAATAAAGAGTATACCAAAAGATAACCCAAAAGAATTGGTGGGTGAACGTGTACCCAAAACGAGGGCTAGTGGTACCAGAAATAGGCAGTACCTATAATTATTTTATGACCTATGTAATTTTTTTAGTGGTATTATTTATTTTCAATTGCGTATGCTAACCTGACACTACTAAGGATTTCTCAATTGGCATAAATTCTGTATTTCTTTAGTAATAAATTATAATTGTGTTATTCCCTAAGATACCTTCTAGGCCAACTGTGTGTACCTTAGCCATCACTGGCTCTTCGCTTACCTAATTATTCAATATACCAGGCCAGCACATTTCACTAATTAGGTAGATAAGATGTTCTATGATCCACAAGGGGTTGTGCTCCTGGATGATTTCTATCTCGTTGCCTGGCCAATTCCCACGTCATAACGCTGGTAATTTCCATCTACCATACCATGCAAATGTGGGTTAAATTGTTTTTGTCTTTGGCCAGCCATCAGCATTGTCTTTCGACGATTGCATGTGCATCCACACATTTCCATCTCTCCATCTGTCGCTTTCAATTGCTCCACTTTCTTGCTTCATTTTCCATTTTGTGCACATAATTGCACTTCTTGTGAGCCAAAGTGGGCAAACAACCAACGTCACCGTCATCCACTGGCAAGCTGATGCTCCTTCTGCACAAGCCAAATCAAACGAAAACACCCTGCTCGGTCCACTCGCCCAACACAACCCAACCCAAAGCACCCGATCCCGTTCAATCCCCAACCGCCTGCTAATCCCGTGCTGGAATTTCCCTGGGATCCACATGCACACACGAGGATTTGGATGCGGACGAGGGTTGCCGGCGCGACGGCAAGACATTGACGGGATTAAGTGTCCTTTTTAATTTTAAACTACTTCACTTCACTTTGCTCAGTCAATGAGTGCTCTCCTCCATGCCCATCTTTTATACCCATCGCTCGGTTAGGCTTCTCCCATTTTTATTTTTTGTTACTTTGGCCGTGTATGTTTCTCTATCGAGTCCTTTTCTTTTAAGCTTGATTAAGCACTTTGTGTAACTCTATGACATGGACATGCATTTGCATGCTGGACGCCGTGCCAATGGCATTTTTAATTTGCAATAGCAACATATCCTGATCCTGCTCCACTTCACACCAGTGATGCTGGTAACGTATTGCAAGAAATATGTCTAAAATATCAACGAAAACCATTGTAAATAATAATTTCAATAATAATTTTAGTTTTTAAGCCCCTTTTAAGTGATTATACATTTTCATTTTAGCGAATAAACCCTATTAACCCTTTTTTTTACTAAGAATTTTTGTTATACGTTTGTAAATTAAGAGTTTATTATTTCCCCCAAAGCTTTATTTAATTAAAGTTTTTTAGAAGCTTATATTTATTTGTAACTTTTTATTTGATTATTAGGTTTTTTTCCAGATAGGATTTTACATTTAATTAGATATCTTAACGTTACAAATTACAAAATAGATAGAGACAAATAAAAAAAAACTTTTCAAAATATACGGTTCCTTTTTAATATTTAGCAAGGAGACCTAGGATTAAAATTGTATGAATATAAAACGGTTTTTTTAATGTTAAAAAATGTTATATAAATAAAAAATATATATATATATATTCGTTGATTTTTTGTGTGTCGGGAAAAAGGCCAAATTGTCATCGATGCCGGGACACTCAGCTTCGAGAGCAGCGCAAATTGCATGCATTAGCATGGGAACCGAGGGACGACGGGGCAATAAAGTGGGCGGTGATGGAAATCCTGCCCAGTGGGTGATGATGGAGGAGCAGGCTTCTCATTTATTATGCAGGGCATCGAAGTAACAATGACTTTGGATTATTGTTTCCTCCCTGCCGCAGCAAACAATTGAAATACAATAAAATTAAATAATTTTTAACAAGCCACAGGAAAACGGAAGTGCTCGTCCATACCCACACATACAGACAGTCATACAGATACAGCCCGCAGATTTACATGGCCTTAATAGCCAATCTCTGGCATTGGCGCACAGATAGTCCGTATATAAACCGCTTTTTTCACTACATTTTATCATTCTTATTACAAATATATTGTATATTGTTTAAATTGCATTTAACTTTAACAAAAAAAAAATATACATTCATCGATATATTTTATTCGCAAAGGTAAATAAATCCACATAAAGGAACCTTTGGCTGTGTGCGAGTGTCTGCGAGCAATAAACAAATACAATTTTATTATTTATTATTTATGTATTCATGGCCATTAAACGGATATCCGTGGCCGTGGTGCATTAAATTGCACTGCCGCCACCTCACCCATCCTCTACTTCACCCCTTACCTTTGTCATTACTTACAAGGACTCCCGCCCCCTCCATTTTTTTCAAACCCATAAAGCGGATCACGTGCTGGGGTTGTGAAGACAGCTTTAATGCACTTTAGTTCATATCCCGTGAGAGAGATAACCGATAAGGAGATTCCAACTAGTCGAACATAAAGCTTAATGATTAAGAAGGCTCCAATTGGGTATTAAAAAGGTTTTAAATATCAAAAGCAATAAACAAAAGCACACAGGAAAAACGTAAACATTCTAAAAAAGGTCTTTAAAGGTGAATTGTGAATAATAACTCACGGTTTTAAGTTCTTGCTATAACTTATTTTGTATTACCAACCTAAAGATGGAAACCGATAAAGAGCATGAATCGGTATTCCTAACTGTGCTTATAGTATTGTGGTTTAATTATATAAATATATTTTTACATTTGTACCAATTAAAAATGATTGTTTTATTGTGTTTATTATACTTTATTAAAAAAATTTTGTTCTTTTTTTCTAACATACAGTTTGGAAATTCCGTGTCTCTCTTTTGTTATATCTCTTTTTTTTAACGATTTATAATCATGAGTGAGTGCAATTCACTTCATGCAACATTTTTAACAACAAAAAAATTAAAAGAAAAATACGTGTTATATTTTTTCTAACACCCGGAGTTTTGTGAGTCTTATGAAAATTTCAGTTTAAATGCATACCAAACATTGGAAAGTTTTTAAAAATACAACATTTGCATCCATATTCCAGCTATTCCATAACTGACGTTTACAGTCAGCTTTGCCATACTTAAAATTGAAAAGTCTGAAATTCATTTAACGATGACTGCGTGACCTAATCGAATCTCCAATTAATATTTATCTTCAACTTAATACCACCTGAAGCATGTGATAAGCTTCCGTTGGGCCATAAGTATTTCGTTATCTGACAAGAAATCGTTAGGCAGGATGCGAAACAAATTTAAGGAAGTATCAATTGTTGGGGATAAAGGAGCATGCTGAATAGCAGCGTTTGCCGGTGCTAAGACACGGAGCTTTCCTTTCTCTCTTTTCCCTTTCAACGGATTGTGGTTGTCGGTTTTAGTTGACTTGGCACTGGCAAGCAGCCGAAGGTGTGTCTTCTGCTATCAATATGTAATCAATGCTTTCAAATAACTTTGCCATTCGCAGCAAGGCTTTTGTTTTGTACAAATCGGGGGTCGGAGAACCAGCATTTGGAGTTGGGTAATGGTAACACCTAAGCTAACCTATCCATGCGAAGAAACAATTGGACCTGGAAGTGGAATATAGAGAGCTTGGAACAGGGACTCGGAGATGGTGTGTGTGGCATGCCTGGGGCGCACAAAAGGGATTTCAATAATACGCGCACAATCCGTGCTGAAAGCTTAAACAATAAAAGTGAAAATTCCGCCAGAGCTTCTAGGTTCGAAAGAGAAGGATTTTATTGGGTGGTGTGATCCTTACATTGGAAATATGCGGATAAATCTTAAATCTTGTAAAAGATTAGGTGTCATTCCAGATATACGACTTACTAATTGGTTTTTTATTTAACAAATACTTTATTTAAAACTAAGAAATTGTTACTGCATTCATTTCACAAATTAATTATTAATTTGTGTCTGTTGCAATATCGTCAAATTTAAGTCGAAACCTGACATCGGTTTGCCTCTTTTTTTAACTATACTTATAAATTACTTATATTGTGTGACTTTGATTTGTAACTGATTTATGCTTCTTAGAAAATGGTCAAAGCTTTATTTTACACATTCATGAATTTTAAAATCACAACTTTTAAAATTTAATGAAACATCGAGATAATGAAATAAAAAAATGTATTATTTAAGGGTTCTTAATTTTTACAAATCCCTAATGACTAACCCCAATTCAATTCACGAGGCTCACGATCTTGAAACTTGTCCATCACTACAACAACTTAAAGTTGCGGTTGAACAGGAACAGGACAATGCGACATGTGTAGCCGTGTATCTGAGTATCCGTGCAATCGAGTCTCCGAGTTTATTCCATGTTGCCAGCCAGCCAGACAATGCAGATTAGCCCCGAAATGAAGGGGCCACCCAGCACTCGAGACCTTGGTAAGAGACAAAAGCACTCGGCCGGGATTTTAATGAATAACAACATGAAGAAGTGCGGACTGGAGAAGGAGAAGGAGATGGAGGAGATGGTATCCACATCAATTACATTGCGGTTGGCTGCCATTGCCAGGGACACTCTTACAATTGAGTGCCAGGAGCACGTTCGCATATGAATATGAATTGCAGGAGCACATGGCTGCGGCCATATCAATGAAAATCAATTCCACTGTCATTTGGGAATCTCTCAATTGGTCGAAGCAGCTCGATGAAACTTCTGTGTTTGTGGCACTGAATTGTCAATATCAGCTCAAGTTGAATTTGCTCCATTATCTGTGCAATTTGGAACACAACTCGGCGAGAACTGCAACTGTCGGTTTTGGACTCCCAGCTACTACCTTTTTGACCTCTTTGCCTGCGGCTTATTGGGCAAATTAGTTTTGCCTGATTGCAAATTGTTCGTGGAGGCTGCTCCTCCTTCTTGACAGAACGTAAATTCAATGTCCTCGTATATGTATGTATTATGGCTTCGTTCGTTTTAAACCGTACCCACATGGACGGAGCCACCCTGCTGATTTATGTTTATGGGCTTGGCAAATATTTGCGGCACTTCAAAAGCATTATGATGATTATTAGCATTGTTTGCCATCGTAGTAAAACTGTCATACGTGTCTGGCTGACTGTTGCCCAACATTTGCAGTCGAACAATATAGAAAAAGAGAGCATCGCCAACTGGAGCTCCAACTGTAGCTATAAATGTAGCTGTAACGGACAAACGTGAAACGTGACCGACGTGATGTTTATGCGAAAACATTCCCCCATCATCTGAATAAGTGCGATTGCTAGTGTGAGCAGCGGCATTAGCATCCGACATCGGATGTATGTACATTGCTGCAGAGGAATTCACATCATCAACGATTTCCGCTTGGCCCAAAAACGCGAATCGACTAATCGCCAAAGTGAGGCCCAACTTTGGGGAGACGCGTTTAAAGTGAACAAGAATCGATGGCACAGCCTTCCATCGCCTGCTGAAAGGATCCAAAACCCCAAGGGAATTGATGCTCAAACACTGAAAAAATGTATTTAAATGTTAAAGTGTTTTAAAGTATTACAAAGTTTCAAGTTGTAAGAGCTTTTCAAAGGACTTGCTTTAACAGAAGTATAATTTTCTTTCATACTTTTTAAACTCAAGTAATTAATTATTAAAAACTCTTGATAGTTTGAAGCTACTACTTCTTTTGTAATTCTTTCTTTGGTACTGTCTACTATATTCCATGTTCTTTCTATCATTTTCACAGTTTTTACACAGCTTTTAGCTTTACCCTTTAAAGGATCAATATAGATATATTGTATTGTATGTGGAGAGATATACATATATACTTATATAGTTATACCCTTTTGGCAGTTATATTTTGACAAATTTTTCAAAAAAACATTGTATAAGGTCAAACTTAGAAGTGTTTTTGAAAAGAAGAATTCTAATTCAACTTAAAATAACCGATTTAAGTACTGATTTTTCGCAGTGCTTGTAGGCAATGTCAGCTCTCTGAGCCAAAAGTCGCACCATCGAGAAGACAACTGCGTGACAATGCCTGGCCCCAGTTTGGATCCAAAAGTGGAAGTGGCTGGAAAACTTTGTGCCCCCCAACAAAGCAGCTCGGGAGGAACTTGTCGCGCATATGGCTGCACCTACAAGGACAACGAAAACGACACATAGCACGGAGACAGCAGGAATCGCACCCTTGCCGCCGACGACGCCATTTTCAGTGTAAATATTTAAACAATAATAAGTTGGCGGAAAAACGTGGGGAAAACTCTTATGTTGCCAGCGCTGCAAAGTGAGGCAAACTTTTGTTATCTTTTCACCATGAAAATAGCACGAAATTGAACAGGAAAACGCCGGCGGAGTCTGACGGGATATCGGGTTGAGAGGTGGTTGGATGGAGGAATGGTGGGATGGCTGGGTTGGGCAGGTGACAGGTGGCATGGGAGACTACACATCGACGGGTTTCGACAGACAGACGGGTTGAAAGCATTGCACGTGCACTAATCATCACGGATGGCGGGCTCACAGGGACTTTGGCTGGTGTATCGCCTTTCATGTTTTCAATTAGCGTTAATGTCAGTGCATCCCCCGATGAGCTGGATCTATTGGCTGGAAACTATCTCCGTTGGCTAATGTTTGCGTTTTGACAACGGACCCAGCCCATACCAAATAGAGGCTTGTTAGTGGACGAGTGACAAAAGAATATCATATCACCATGCCTCGAAATTCTGAAAATTTGTAAGAACCACAGAATAAAAACTGTTCACAGATTTAAAAATTGAACTGGAGTTAAATTACATTTTTTAAAGTTAAAACTACTATTGTAAATTTAACCATTTCGCAAGATGAATAAAAAATTGAATAATAAATGACTATAATGAGTCAAGGTCAGCATTTTATTAAAGTTACATAACTAATTTTTAAATAAATTTAAGAGTTCTGCTCTTACTGGTCTTACTAGTTAAGACTACAAACAATTATTTAATCACAGACCTTGTCTTGGAAAAATAACTCCGGATATGATTAACATTCTTTGTCTTACATATTATGCTAAGAAAATATTTAGTTAAGCACAATGCTGTTCGAGACGTGAGAAATTGAAGATTTTAAAAGTAACTACAACTCGAAATTAATTTCCGACAGGTTCAATCCATCACTTATGCTCCCCACAAAGCCAACTTCTATATTCATACCATAACTGCTCTATAAATATTATCCAGGAAAGTCTTGCCTTTACCCCGAAAATGTCATTTGCATAACCGTCAATCATACGCCACGTATGGTGGCTCTTGGTGTTCCACCTTGTTTGTTTCTGCTTCACTGAGTGTGCACACACACGCTGCACAACCACCGCACCACCATCGCACCACCAGAACCCTAACCCACCATATGTTCGATGGCATTGGAAATTTTGCTCCTCGATTTGCCTTTGCGTTTTATTTCGAAATTGAATTTCAGCACTGATTATATTTTTTCCTTCTTTGCAGTGCCCGCATTGAATGTGGTTGGGTGCTGGGTGGTCCTGGGATCCTGGGGTCTCAGGGATGCATTGATTGGGGATGGGGTCCCATGTTGTTTGCGCTCTTCGGCTGCCGGGGGTGCATAAATAAGCGCCACTCAATTATGCAGACTGTGGGCGAAGCAGCTATAATCCTTTATCCCTCTACCTGGAACGTGTCGATTTGATTTGCTTTGCAATTTATTTTTGAATTGCGCTGACAAGGACACACATCGCGCATACGGTATTTATATAATGTTTCCTTTGACAAAACGTTTTATAAGCTTTATGTTGTGGGGCGGAGAAAACACCTCTCATCATCTTGTCTAACATTTTCGCAATGTAATATCGACATATTTACCTTCACACTTCAACAGCTTGGCTTTAATTTCAAAAGAAATACCTTTATTGGGAATTTTTCAGTTGCTGTAAATTGAGCTCGCAATTAGCTGCCTCATAAGAAATTGTATTTTTTTGTTTTGTATTTTGGTTTTTTACGTCGTCATTAGCTGGTACTTAAAACCTTTTTGCCGATGGAAAAAGTTTGGGTCAATGCAAATATTTCATTTGAAGTGACACAACGTTTGAAATTTGTCTGAATTCTCCCTTGACTCGGGATATTTAAATGTGGCCCATTACATTTTATATTGCCATTTGCCTTTGAGGTTTTGTGTGTTACATTTAATTGCGAATTTCTGTTGAAAAAGTTTCACTTCACTCCGTCCTTGCCTTGAACCTTTGCCCCGCTCGATTTTCTTCCTTCATTTCATTTCGGTTTACTTTCTCGCTTGTACGGCTTCAAATGTTCAACTCATTAAAAAGTGAAACAAAAATGTGCTCGATGGCAAAGGGGGGATGTTAGTCTATTTACCCGACACTGCAGCAATTTCCGAGCAATTACTGGCCTTAAATACGGAAATATGCGAAGGGACAGTTGCGTGTAGTGTGGCGTACTCCCAATTGTTTTATAAATATTTAACGACTCAACCACAAAAATTGATTGACATTTGATTTAACTGTTTGATGTGCTTGAGCGTTGACATTCGGACAGGCCAATTATATGTATTAATTACATTTTACTGCTGTCATTTCGATGCAGAAATTAATTTGAATTAAGCCAGGCGAGAAATAAGAACAAAAAAAGTGACTTCAAGTGTAATTAAAAAATTTAAAATTATTTAAAAAAAGACTCCTGCGAAAAAAGCGTTCGAAATAGCATAACGAATGCATGCTAATGAGTGTGATGGTCGCATTGATGACGATGAAATTCGTAAAACGAAAGAAAAATGTCCTTCGGCCACTTAAGCTGATGGAAAAATGTCAGCAACAGTTGGAGCCGCTAGTTGAAAATGAAAATGTAAGCGCTTTCACTGCCTTAACTGTGAATCAAATTAAAATTGCGAAAGCGCTGAAAAATACAATGTACATGTAGGCCACGTATATATGCTTATGCAATAATCTATATGTATATATATATACTGGCGCTGGCATGATTTCAATTAAGTTGGCCGTTGTTGGCCAAGTAAGCATGCCTCTGCCATCCAGCGGGTCAGCAGATGAGCAAATGAACGGGATGCTCCTCATATCGGGAATCAGCATATTTGCTGGACGTGGCTTTAACCGCCTGGCCGCACATAATTAGTGTCATTGGCAGCGATGCCAGCGAGTGTTGGCCAGCAAATATAGCTGGCGAAAGGTAATTTGGAGGCCCATGGCAAAGACAATTGCACTTTTGATAAATTGCAACCTGGCAGCAACAGCTGCTGATCTTATTACCGATGTCGTTAATGAAATATTTCCCATGCCATTCACCGGGGGGCGTATGTGTGTCAAGTATTAATGCGGAATATTGCGTATACGCGCTGTTAACAGCTGAACTGTGTCAAGGCCGATTGTTGATGGTTAACAGAAATGACAAAATTAAATTTAAACAGAAGTTAATAACCAAAGATCATAGCCAGCAGCGACCAGTTGTTAAATATAAAAATATAATTTAAAGCAAGTTACATAGAAATGTCTTTTAAATACATTACAAAATATTTTTCGATTTTAATTGAATTAAATTGATTGACATGGCGACATGCCAATTATATTTTTACAGTTGTCCATTCGGTGCAACAATTAATTGAATTTAAAAATAATTAATTTGGGTAATAAAATCCTTTTAAATTCATTACAATTAACCTATATGACTTAGTATGAAATATAATAAAATAAGTATAAATAATATATAAAACGAATTCCTTAATTTGTTACCTGTAATGTTGTTACGCTGATTCAAGTTAATGAAATTAAAGATATTGCATTTTACATTTATTTTATTTAGATTATTTGTTTTATTTGACATGCAACTAAGAATATTGAATTATACGAGTATCATTAGTTTGTCGACACCTAAGCAAGCAACAACATTTGTGTGGTTTGAGGTTTGCCATTTTCCCCACAAAACTTATTTTTAGCTATTGCTGTATCCTTTTTTCATTTTCCACTCAGTTCTCTTTTTGTTTCCTAGATTTTCTGAATACTTTTCCGAATGCATTGGCAATAAATCGAATCGGTCGTTCACATTGAAATGGGGCGTGGGTTGGTTAACCCAAATGGCAACAAATTAGAACTCGTACTGTTCTCAGCGTTGTTCTAATTCTTCGCCTCACTGCCGGTTGAAAAATCGAAATCACTCTCGCTACCGCCCACGGGGGGCGTGGCTGAATTGGGGGCGGTTGGTGCGGCGGGTCCCGGATTTGCGGCCAGGATCGGGGTCGGTTTCGCGCTTGAGCTATCATCCGTTTCGCTGCTGTCAACGAAATTAACGCGCTTCTTTTTCTTTAGCTGCTGCTGCTGCTGTTGCTGCGCATCATTAGGCGCCGCTTGTTTGTCTGTCGTCGAGAGTATCGATGTGGGTTTGAGGGGTTTATTGGTGACTGGTGGTTCCGGTGGAGCAGCAGCCGCCACAGCCGGACTTTCATCCACTTCCGGTGCCTCCTTTTCGCCCACTGGATACGTTTCCTGCTGCTGCATCAGTTGCTCCTGTCCCGGCAACTCCTCGTGTTGCTGTTGCTGCTGATCCGGTTGCTGTTCGTAGGCACTGTAGTCATAATTCTGCACCGCACTGGCATCGTACTCCTGGCCGGCATAGCTGCCATCCGGCGCATATTGAGCGGCATTGGGATCGGCTATATACTGCCCGGTAGCCTCGTCGTATATGTAGCCCGGATAGGCATTGGGATCGTACCCGGATTCATACTGACCGGCCTCGTAGTTGCTGTAATCAATATTGGAGTACTCCTGCGGCAGGACGTCGCCACTGGTGGTATCTCCCGTTGCCTCTGTGGCACCTGCAATTTCGGGAGGAACCTCGCCAACTGCCCCCGCATCCGCTGCATACGGCTGATAGTCTGTGGGATTTCCGATTTCGCTGTAAAGCGGCTCCACTTTTGCGTTTGGTTGCAGGCCAGCGGAATCGATGCTGGCATAGATGGGCTCACTGGTATCGCCGTAACTGCTGGCATCGTATTGCCCGTACCCGGCAACCTCCGGCTCCTGCGGCTGTTGCTGTTGCTGTTGCTGTTCCACCTCCTGAAGTTCCTCCGGCGAAGTGTTGGTTACCAAATTTTCGAAAAATCCCTGCGTTGGTGTTGCCAACTCGCCTGCTGTCGCAGTTGCTCCACTTCCTCCAGGTCCTGCCCCTCCTCCTCCTGTCAAACGTTCGCCGTAAATGGCATTTTCAATATTCTCAATCGACACACCGGTTTTGGGTTGGCTGACTGCTGGTTCCTGGCTCCTGGGCGGCGACAATTGATTACCCCTTGCCAACTGCTCATCAACCGCAGCCGCTGCTCTTTCGAGTGCCGCCCGACTGGCTTTGACTTCGTCCAGCAAATCGTTGCTGATGCCAACTTTGCCACTAACCGCTGATCCCGACTCGCTGGAACGCACGCCTAAGGGGCGTTTGTCTTTGGGTGTGCCATCCTGCCAGGACTCATCGATTTTCAGTTCACCAAAGTATGCTTCAAAGTCGTGGGGCTGTTGAAGTTGCTGCTGTGGCTGTTGATATTCCTGCTGTACCTCTTGATGTTGCTGCTGCTGCTGGGGCTGATGTTGCTGCTGGCGTATCTGCTGCTGCTGTTCCGGCTGATGTCGCTGGCCGGACTCATTATGCCCGACGACAGTTGGTGATTTTTCATACTCGACTTTAGTCACGCGTGAATTTGTCCAGTCATCCAGGTCGCCCGTATCCCTCTGAGGTTGCCCGCCCCCATCCTGGCCAGAAGTTTCTCCTGCTCCTGCTCCTGCCTCTGCTCCAGATCCTGCTCCTGCAGTCGGCAGCTCAGTTAACGTCAGCGATGGCGACGACGTCTTTGGCAATTTATCAAATGTCAACGAGGATGTGGCCAGCGTTGAGGAAGTGCTGCTCAGTTGTCGCGCACCCTTCTCCTGGTTGGAGGATACAGTTGATGTGGGTGTCGCAGCCGCTGCTGCTGGCGGAATCCTGTCACCCAGCTCCGCCTGATAATCACCTGTCAGGTGGGGCTGCATGCGCTCCGGTAAATCGGCATTCTCATTATCAAAGGGGCGCGCAAATCGAACAGGTTCGAGGTGCCAAGGGGAGCTGCAGTTCCGCCAAAGAGCTCTGGATAGTAAACAGGATGGCCAGTTGGGATGGGTGTGGCGGGGGATGGGGGGCTGGGGGAACAGGAGGAACAGGACCTGCTGCGGCAAACTGGGGCGTCAATAGCATGCCCGCCTGCGTGGGCGTGGCCATGGCAAAGGTCCAGGGCGTCGACTGCGGATTGGTCACCTGCGGCTGCGGTTGCACCAGCACCGGTATCATTCCGCCCGCGGTTGGAGGCGCCGCCGTCGTCGTCGTCTGCTGGATGCATCGCAATGTTTGATTCTGCACCAATTTCGCAAAGTACATTTGGTACTGCAGCTGTTCACCAAAGCAAAAGAAAGATTTAGATTGGGTGTTTGAACGATGCACTTGAAAAGAAATCATGTAAATAATCCTTGAACTTAAAAAAGTTTTGAAAGCAATAATTTATTATCATTACAGAAATATTTTCTTTAAGTCGGATCATCCCATTCTTGTTTAAAAAATATTTTTAAGTTGGTGTATAACTTTGTCTAATATTAAGTAAATATTTTTAAAATTGTTTATGAAGATGTGAGGATATTTAAGGAATTACAAAATAAATAGCAACACATAAAATTATTATTTTTTGAATCTATTCCTTACTAAAAAAATTTGTAATCCATTCAAACCTCAAATAATGCAAGTAGCTTAAATTAAAAATATCTAAATTTGGTTAGAACAAAGTTTTATATTTAAATAAATAATGGTCAAAATTTTATAAATGATACGAATTTAGATAATGCAGAGAAATAAACTGGTTAATTAAAGAAAAGTACTAGGAAAAACCCTATTTCAGATTTATTTACTATTCTTTCACACAAATGCTGAAAATTCATGGCACATTTTTATACCCTTGCAGAGGGTATTATAATTTCAGTCAAAAGTTTGCAACGCAGTGAAGGAGACATTTCCGACCCTATAAAGTATATATATTCTTGATCAGCATCACCAGGAGAGTCGATCTAGCCATGTCCGTCTGTCCGTCCGTCTGTCCGTCTGTCCGTCCGTCTGTCCGTCTGTCCGTCTGTCCGTCCGTTTCTACGCAAACTAGTCCCTCAGTTTTAAAGCTATCTGCTTGAAACTTTCCCAAAAGTTGTATTTCTATTGCAGGTAGTATATAAGTCGGAACGAGCCGGATCGGGCCACTATATCATATAGCTGCCATATAACTGAACGATCGGAAAAGCCATAACTTTGGTGTTTTTAAAGTTAGGAAGTTGGGATTTTCTATGGGTTTTATTTTTGGCTAATCAATCCGACCTACCAAATTTCATAAGGATCGGACGACTATATCCTATAGCCGCCATATAACTGATTGATCGGAAAAGCCATAACTTTGGTGTTTTTAAAGTTAGGAAGTTGGGATTTTCTATGGGTTTTATTTTTGGCTAATCAATCCGACCTACCAAATTTCATAAGGATCGGCCGACTATATCTTATAGCTGCCATATAACTGAACGATTGGAAATGACATAACTTTGGTGTTTATACCCGTTACTCGTAGAGTAAAAGGGTATATTGTATTCGTGCAAAAGTATGTAACAGCTAGAAGGAAGCGTTTCCGACCCTATAAAGTATATATATTCTTGATCAGGGTCACTAGCCGAGTCGATATAGCCATGTCCGTCTGTCCGTCTGTCCGTCTGTCCGTCTGTCCGTCTGTCTGTCCGTCTGTCTGTCTGTCTGTCCGTATGAACGCTGAGATCTCGGAAACTATAAAAGCTACAAGATTGGCATTTTGCATGTAGATTTGAGCAGTTCCTACGCAGCGCAAGTTTGTTTCAAAATGGTGCCACGCCCCTCTGACGCCCACAATCGCCTATATTTTAAAAATTTAAATATTTCGGAAAAGTAAAAATGCAGTTTTATTGTGTTTATCAATACCTATCGAAATGTAGAAGAAATTTTTCAAATCGGACCATTCGTTAAAAAGTTATGCGTGATCAAAGTTTCTATCTCCATCTCCCTCGCACTCCCTTTACCTGAGTAACGGGTATCTGATAGTCGGGGCACCCGACTATAGCGTTCTCTCTTGTTTTAAAGTTAGGAAGTTGGGACATTTTATGAGTATTAAGAATACATCATATGAATAATTTTGGACAATATAATTTATAAAATATTCTGCAAGGGTATATCAACTTCGGCTCCGCCCGAAGTTAGCTTTCCTTTCTTGTTTTGAAAGTGTGATTGACTTTGCATTTGCCCCGGGCGGTCGGGCGACTTACCTTCATCATTTTAAGCCGCTCGCTTCGTTGCGACATGGCAGCCGTTTGCTCATCGATGCGCTCCAGCATGTGGACCAGCTTTTTGTTGCGCTCGTTGCGTTTGGCCTGCTCCTCCAGGAACTCCTGGTACTTTTGGCGGGTCTTATGGCGCACCGACTTGTCGCTGCAGTACAAATACAGCTCACCTTTTAGGGCCAATGGGGGAACATGACAAAAGCTACTTACAGCTCGCTGCGCTTCTGCAGGACCTTATCTAACTTGTGCTCCAGCTGCTGGCGATTATCCTCGCTGTGCAAAGAAAATCGAGCAGAGAGTCAAAGGACATGAATATGATTTGTAAGCTCCTTCATATGTACATGAAAAGCTTTGGAAAGGATGACAAACACAAAGCAACGGCCATGGCCTTTGTATGACTAACTGCTCACAGGGCATTTTAAATATCGAAGAAAAGAATCAAAAGTAATGCACCCAATACGTAAATGCACAAGAGGATATGCAAGTAAGGTTTATTATTTTTATTTAATGTTAATGCTAAACTAATTTTTGTAATAAAGTTGTTAGTACTAGCATTCAGCCGAGGGACAAAATATATCCGTTTATTTTTAAATATTGGGAACGAGCAATAGCTTTTACCTTTACAAAATTACGTTAACTGCTTGAAATGGAAAATTACGAACATAAAATGGAATTTTATAGTCATTTTTGTTGTTTTGCAAAGTTATTAGTTAAATTTGCTTTAATAAGCTTGAGGCTCTTGTTTTTATTGTATAACAGGGACACTGAAAAACGTGAGCTTTAAAAATAAGTATCTAAAATATGGTTTTTCTTATTGATTATTTATAAATTGGTGAATGTAGCTTTAAAACGATAACGATATGGACAGCGTTTAAAATTCTTAAACGTCAATTGTATAATACAAAAATTAAATATTTTAATGATTTTATCCGCTTAGCATTTGAACACTAAAAGTCTAGTGGATACAACACATTTTAATTAAATTTAGAGAAAATAAGCTTTTTAATTTTAACCAAGTTGCATTGCTAGTTGTAATATTATTATAAATTAACCTTAAGAAGTCAATAGAGTTCCCTTCTCTATTTTGCAATCATTTACTATTAATATTGCTCATATTTTCGATCTGCTTACCTGCGCTGCAGCTTCTCCTGTAGCAGCTCTACCTGCAGCTTGTAGTTCTCCAGCTCGGCTTGTGGAAACATGGCTTAAACGGGGGAATATCGGGGAGTATCCGTTCCTTCTGGCCCGAACCGCTGCGAACTTTACCACTTGGCGGCTCTGACTCAACTGGCCATATGCACCACAGCCCGCTTTTGACACAGTTTGCTTGCCACGGGGATATTAATGCGACAGTGTGTTCTATTTTAAGGCAACTTTATTTGAATGGCCGCATTAAATACGTGTTCGTATGGGTGATTGGCATTTGTTTTGTTGAGTCGCGTTGTCATGGCTGCCCGGTTTCTTGGTGGTTCCTTTGCGTATTTATTTTGGTGGTTGCTTGGCATTGGCCAGGGGCAATTGGCCCTTATCGATTTCCCTAGACGGCTTTCCCAACGTGCCACGCATTGAGGAGCAGCGGCAGCAGTAGCGGCAACTAACTTTCGATTTTTCGCCCCATGAATTTCACATTCCACAGTCGTTGTTTTTTGTCCGGCCTGTGGTATACTAATTACACGCCCAGCAAGTAGGTCACTTCTTTCTGAACTCCGGCCAGTTTTCTGTTCGGTTCTTGGCTTGGCCGGGCCCAAAATCGTGAAGAGTCGTCTGGGGTCACCGGACCCGGCCAAACCATTTATAATGCATTGCACGGGATTTGCCTGCACGAGTGGGTCCAGCTTCTTCCATTCCTTTTCTGATGAGTGTAAACACATGTTGTTGTCGCACACTCGCACCCGGACTTACACTGAGAATAAAAGTATTATCCGGCTTGTTTAAATATCATTTTTATTATATATATTTATAATAATTTTTAAAACTAGGTTATATAACATTACATGAACCTCTTAATCTCTTTGCCTATAGTTACAAAATAAATAAATAATAATATTATTTAGAGTGTGTTTCTCATTAAGTTATATATATTTTCCCATAAAAGAGCAAATTGATTTTTCAGAGCATAATGATTTTATTTATGTAGATTATTATTGTATTATTTTTATTGTTTCCCATCTCAGTGGTTTTTTCGATAGCAATAAAGTCAAAAGGGTACCGAATTCAATTATGCGCAAAATGATGTCAAAGGTAAAATTAATATGGCGATAATTTCTCTCAGTGCAGACCCTACCCTTTGTGTGCGGCCAAGCGTGCGCCACCTGAATGTGAATTAATGGTAGTGGCGTCTATCACTCCCCAGGCCGCAGACAACAGCAGAGGGCCTCTCACTCTCGCTGACATATTCACACGCTCACCACGGTGTGCTGCATGTCCTGTATGTCCTGTATGTCCTGTATGCCATCATCAGCGTTCCCAGCGTCAGCAGTGACCACTCTCGTGTTCCTGTTCCTACCAGAGCCACTGGCACACGGCAATTGCCACCGAAGCCACAGCAGCTCCGTGTCCTGCTTGACTTGCTCCTGGCTTTGGCGTTGGCGTTAGCGTTGGCTTCGCTCGTCCTGGCCTGGCTCCTCCATGTGGCACATGTATAGTATATGCCGGCGTTGTCACGGTGTCGTGGTTGCGAGCCGCAATATAAAACTTTTGGTTATTTACATGTACGGGATAACAAACGCCCGGTAGGGGGACTGTCATAAGTGCGGCGGGTTATCTCCGCGGTTCCTCGTTTCAGGACACCGAATGCTGATGGGTCAGTGTGCAAGGGCTCATGTGTGTGTGTGTGACCAGACCAGAGGCTCTGTTTAAAGGGGGAAGCAAATTTTATATTATTACTTTCCTCACCAGAGACACTTGCAACTAAGGGCCTATAAATTGGATTTAATTTATTATGTTTTATGTTGATTAATTTATACTTTTTCCTTTTACCCCCATCAGACGGCTTCCTTGACCTTTGTCAAGGAACTAAAATAAACTTGTTGCCAAGCGACCAGGACCACGAACAATTTCTCCTTGTCACTACCAATTCGCGTAACTGAAATTCGCGGAATTCCTTAAGCGGTGGCTAAGAGTACTGAAAGTTCATATTCGAAAAAGAAAATTTATAAAGATCGGAGTATCCACTCTAATGCTAAAACTTACAAATTAAATTATAAAATTGAAGAAGTAATTAACAATGTTAAATATAAAATAACAAAAAAACTATATTTATCTTAAAAATATATTTTTTTTTTAGGAATTTTTTTTTATATTAACACTCTTCAATTTTTTTTTGTTCTGTTCTCTCTGTTACCTGTTCTAAAAAAACACGGCAGCTTAGCAATTTGTGAAGGACCAGATGTCTGGCAAACTTGAGGTCCTGTCTTATCGACCAATGTTTACATATTTATTATTAAGCCTGAGCAATTTGCGACTGGGCCTTGGAGCTATTCATAGCAGAGCCACTTGGCATTTCCTGGCACCCAAGTAATGTCTTCGATTGGAAATTGGCTGAGTGCGCGCGAGGATATCAATAGAAAGTTTGTCATAATCGAACATTTGCATTGAATAGTGTGTGTTTGGGGGAGGTGGAGGATCTAAATGGAAATTGAAATTTTTTTCGTAGAAAAGGGGCGATTTATGTGTTTGACTTTACGCTGCAGTTGCCAGTCGGTCCGTGGATGCGAAGTGTATGTGAGTGCTTATCAGGCGCTGCACAGCGTCCTTTTTTGGGGGCACTTAATTTTGTCTGGCATCCTTAACGGGACGCGACCCGAGAGCTTCTTTTGCCGATTTGCAGTCAATGAAGTAGAAAACTGAAAACTTTTTCTTTCGAGTCTATTAAAAATAATGGCAGCTGAAAGCAGAAGCGTTCGCCAAGTGCGAACTTCTCCCCATGTGTGCCATTGTCCCCCATCTCTTTCTTCCCCCGGTCTCGCTGTCTCTTTCTGCCCCCGGTCTCGCTGTCCCTTTCTGCCTCCAGTTTCGCTGTCCCTTTCTGCCTCCAGTCTCGCTGTCTCTTTCTCTTTCTCTATCTCTGCGTGTGTGAGTGCGCGAGACATCGGCGGGCATTAAATTAATGTCCTCCCAGCCATTTCTCACGAAGGCCTGGTCGCAGACACTGCCGTCCGGTGCATTGACCACTTTCGGCGGTTTGCCTTTAAAGCGCTCTATTACCCCTGCGAAACATCGGGGCTATTTGACCTTTTGGAGTACCCATTACACTTGGGATTGTATTAGGCTCATAAATTGTTTGGTTTTTCTCAGAATTAAGATTAGCTGGGGTGTCGCAGAAATTGATATATATCAAAACAAGTTAGGTGGTGTATTGTTAGAGATTTTATATACAAACAGTTTTATAAAGTTTCTCCTTGAGTTTTATTTGATGTCGTAATTACTATTTCTTTATTTTATTTAGTATCAATGGTTTTTATCTTTTAGGTATTGTAGAAAATATTTTATAGGTGTCCAATCTTTAAATAAAATCTACAATTATAAGGCGTATGCAAATGAATTCATTTTGTATTAACTATTATAATATTAAAAGATTTTACCAATCTATATTTGCAATTAATTAAATGTAATTTTTGATCGCTAGAGATTTTTCTTTATAGTGAATTTAATTAATCTTTTATTGCAAGTCTCTAACCCAGGGTAACCGATAAGATAAACCTTTTTTTAAGCCTGAAAAAGGTCTATGTACTTACTTTTCTTTAAACCCTGTCGCTGCGGGCATGCTGCAAGCGCCGTGCAGGTTTTGCGGTTAATGCGATAATTTAATTGTAATGCGGGTCTGGAGTCTTGCGAGCCAATAATTTAACTTGCAATCAGCGCGGCATTTATTGGGTTAAACATATAAGCCAGGCGCCCGAGGCGAAGACGCATACTTGCATGCCCATGGTGTGAATGAACCCCAAGGATACAGAGCTGCAGATACAGATACGCAGCGAAAGGCCAGGAGAATGAGAATGAGCATGGGAATGGGAAGGAGCAAAAGGATGGTAAATAAATTCAACGATTTCTGTGCAATAAGGGGACGCAGTCGGTTGGGCATTTTCGCACGTAAGCCACGAGGACGATGACAGCAATGAAATATGCAAGCCGGGTCCTGAACCCAAGCATTTTTCCAAGGCGTACATGACTCACGACCAGCCAAGAAGTTAAAGGCATGGGGTGAGCAAAAATCCGAGTTCATGCCGAAAGCCAAACATTTATAAACTTCACAACCTAGCAACAGTTGCTGGGTGAACTCTGGGGGATTGGCTTCTATTGTCTCTGGATAACACATTTCGGTATTGGTTGCCATGTCCGAAGGACACACTGAGGAGCAATTGCAGGATCTGAGACGCATCCTGCTGCTGACCGTCTATAAAAACACATTGAATCAGTTGGTCCTGCAGCAACGGTCCCAGCGTTTAAATGCCAGGAAACCACTGTCGCTACCCGCTTCTCTCAGGAGGCGACGCAGTTCGTCGATGGGGGAGCAGGAGAAACCCGAACGAGTCCTCATTACGGGCAAAGTCCTTCCACGTTTGGAATCCCTGCTCGGTGAACCGGAGAACGATGCTGATCTGCTGGATGAGGAGGTCCTGAATGCCCTGAAATTCGAGCGGGACATGGATGCATTGCGGTCCATATTCGAGGTGGCCATGAATGATCCGGATTTGGAAGAGAAAACTATTATTGAAAAAATGGACCTAAAAGCATCGGATCAGGAAAATGAAAAGGAGGAAGTTCATAAAGAAGAGATGAATAAGCTTCTAGAAGTGAAAGAAATTACTTCCCAGGAGAGTGCCAACCTGGCCATCATAAATCTGCAAATTAATGAAGAACAAAATACATTTGAAGACGAAATGGTTATAGACATTAGGCCGCATCCTTTCGAAGGGGAAAAAATAAAATCCGATAAAAGCATGGATTTGGAAGTTCTGGAAGTGAAAGATGATGAAAGGAAAGACATGGTTCCGGAATCTAAAGATGAGGGTAGGAGTGATATGGGTCTGGAAACTGAAGATGAGGAAGAGAAGGATATGGGTCTTGAAAACCTTAAGCAAGCCATATCTGCCTTGGGAGGCAATAAGAGCGAGGAGTCCCAGGCTGCCCATCAGCTGCAAGAATCCAAGGACGAACTAAAAAAACTAAAAGAGGAACTAGAAACCGAAAAAAAGGAGACCATGGACAAGTTGCAGGACCTGGAGGAACGCATTGCGGAGACCAAGTACAAGCTGCGCTGTGTTTCCCGGGTCAATGACCTCGAGTACAGTTTGGTGCAACGCTGGGAGGAGGGTCGTCTGGCCCAAGGAACCATTTGGGGCGAGAACGCCGAACGGGCCTATTTAAGAGATATTCTGAACATCAAACAAAAACTGGCGCGGGAAGAAAGGGTTAGTGCTGAGCTCCGCTCCTTTCGCCAGCGGGAAATCCTTGAACTGCAGGCGAGGATTAAGGAGTGGCAGCAGCGGTATGTCAGCGAAATACGGCGTGTGGATCGCGAAGCCGAAGCCTGGGAACTGCGCATCCTCGAGCAAAAGAAACTCCTCCAGCGGCATCGCGAAATCTACGAGGAGCGCATGACCTACGTGCAGGAGTACCGCGCCCAAAAGGCGGAGGAGCAGCGACTCCTGGATCTGCAGATTCACCGCATCGAGTGCGCCGTGAGACTGCAGGCCTGGTGGCGCGGTACGATGGTGCGACGCGGTCTGGGACCGTTCAAGAAAAAGCCCAAGCGTGGCAAGCGAGGCAAGCCCAAGAAGTAGGACACGGCGGAAAATTCATTTAAAACATTTTAATACTTCAAAAAATATTCACATTTTCCCCATTAAAACACTTGTCCTTAAATCAAAATAATAAATTAATTTTGATCAATTTCAAATACTGTATGTGAAGACAAGACAAAATTTTTAAAGTTTCTATCTGTTACATAAAAATGTATTAATTTTAATATTTTTTTTCTAAATTTTTCTGCGCTGGTAAATTAAGTTATACACAAATACTGAAGACATAAGGGTGATCTATGCTCAATTGGATATGATACAAAAAATGCTAAAATAAAAAACAAACTGGTAAAGAAAATAAACAAGTTTTCTTAAAAGTTATCCAGAAAGTTAAAGTTTTGTTATAGTTAATTAAATCGTATATAGGAATGGTCTTAATAAGATAAATTTAAGAACATTCTTTTTGAAGCCTCTTCAGATGCTTTTGCAATCATTGGATAATTCTGCGATATTTTGTTTAAATTAATATTAAAACCGAATACATGTTTCTACATACTTTCCATTCATCACTTAATGATTTTCCTTTGTGTACTTTTGTCCAGGGATTTTCAGATTCAGCGCTTGCCCTCTTGCTTTATGGAAATCAACTTGTGACTTAAAACCAATTAAAAGTTGGACGCGCTGCAGTTAACACGTCGACGGTCGGTGGCCACTGATGTCGTCCTTAATGACATGCTGCCCGTGTCAACAGGCCCGTCTCGAGAATTGTTTACGCGAGGCGGTAATAATGGTCAGTGGGACCTAAAGAGGGAGTACTGTGGCAGTGACCCACCCAGAAGGCAGAAGTTTAAGTTGCATCTGGAGTTCCATTGTTTTCCCCCTTTTATTTGTTGCCCGTTGCTTTTCTTTTCCGCATTTATTTATCTTTTATGCCAGAGAATGGCCAAAAGTGGTTTATTTGTTGCGGCGCTTTCATTGGCAACACAAAAATGGGCGGCCTAAGGGGGCGTGCCAGTATGCATTTTGTTTTCGATGCGTGCGGAGGAGATAAACTGCGACAATTTGCCCGGTGAATGAGTGGAACTTTTTCACTGTCGACGCAAAGGGGCGCGAAACAAAAGCAAAACTTTCCCACGAGTATGCCACTGTGGACATTGCAATTTAAAATATAATTAATGGTCGTTGAAGTAATTTATTGAATTTGCATGGCACAAGGCTGCATTGCTGTCATTTCTTGTTTGCCGTTTGCCAGTTTTGCCGGTTGGCCGGAGTCGAGAGTTTCCCCACAGTTTGCTGCAGTGCAGTCCAGTTTTGCGAATGTCCTTGGGAGGCGAGTGTCTGCACATGCACTCATTTTTGTTTTAATGCACTCCGCCCGGTCTCTCGCAATTGTTCCAGGCCGACGTGGCAACAATAACATCCTGATAATGACTGGCGAAAGTCCATTTGCCGCAAAAAAAAAGCCCGGTTGCCACTTGGATGCGAAATTGGTAAACGAAAAATGTTACCCAAAGCGTTTCGAAATAGCGTACCAATACGAGCACCAAAAGTAAAACCGAAAGAGTGAAACGAAAGAGTGTAAAAAGGTTCTTTGAAATGCTTACTGAATTTGCAAATAGAGTATCATTTAACTTTATAATTGTTTAATTTAATGTACAGAAAAGTACTCTAAAGAGTAAAAAAAATGATTTCCAATATTGATTATCTATAATAAGAGAAATAAATTTAAATTCTACAATCATCTTTTTACATTAAATTTTTTTTACCAGTTAATCCCTTACTTTAGTGGAGATTTAACTTTAAACATGAAGTCGTTTATATCGTCTTATGAGGAAAAATTAAAATATACCAATATTGAAATGGAGTAAAATGGACCATTTTTGGCACTGGCCACCAAATGTGGCCACGGTGGGGGCCAGGCCTATTGTTTGCATGGCGGCGGATGAATTAATGGAAGATGGGGCACCGCTGCATGGCGAGAAAGCGAGAATGAGGGCAGCAGACAAACAATCTTCCATGCTTTTTTCCCCATTTTTGTTCACTTCATTTTCCTGGCTATCTGGGCATCTCTTTTGCTCGTTTTGGGCCGCTCCAACAGCCAACTCATTCTCGCTTCCTGCACTTTGCATGCCCCGCACTATTTGCAACTTGAAGAAAGCGGCGAACGCTCCATAATGGCCACTGCCTCCCCCGTCGACCATTTCCTTTAGTTACTCCCCGCTTTCCGAGTCATGTGCGTTACTTAAAACATACAAAATGGCGTGGTATTCGCCTTTAAAGGGCGCCACACTGCATCCCCGTGAGCCGCTGGGAAAAAAGGGCCAACTGGGGCACCCGAAAAATTTACATACAAATTAGGGTTAATGAGCAGTGAAATTGTTATTTAACTTCAGTTGGCCCGTTAAGCGCTTTAAAGTGCGTCACCGCTTCAGACAAAGAGTCTTCAAATATCTGTGTACTTTGCGACACGTTTTCGAAATTCTCTTTAGCCCCGGGTAAACGGGGTGACCTTTTAGTGCTTTACCGCCCACCAAACACCGCCCACCGCAGAACAACAGAATTTAATTAATAATCTTGCGCATAATTCATAAATTGAATATTGCGCATACGCCACGTGTTCTTAAATTAATTTTCGTTCACATTTTATTATACTCATTTTGCAGTTTTTACTGCTACAGCTGCAACGCGCGAGAGAGATAGAGAGAGTGCGAGTATTATTTAAAATTTAATCAAACACTTTAATTTGATTAACAGCGCACGTCTTTCAATATAAATTTATGGCCGCACGACGCATAATCAGAGACCAGAACATTCAGCAGTAGAACCGGATCCGGAATGCCGGAGTGCTCCGCTGACCAGCCGTAAAAAAGGGTTGACCGTCCGCACATCCATTCACCCGATCTCAACTCCCGTCTGGGCTTTCAACACATCAACGCCGTCATTTGATATGCGTACATGTGATGGGTGGTAGAGGGGAAGGGGGAGGGGCGGGAGACTAATAGCGGCACGTACGCTTGATAAAATATTTTATTGGCATGTATGGGTGGCGTCCTGACGGGCCCAGCGGTTTTATAGATTTTTCTAATGCTCTGGTGGCGGGGTTTTTCAAAAAAAACCCTTCTAGAAACGATTTGGAGTGGAAACTCAAGTAAAAATACTCTTTATTGAAAGTAAATCCCATTGATCAATGGGTTAACATATTTTATTATTGAATACTTATGTTTTAAATTACATAAGGCTATCTTTTCTTTAGTAAATTGTTTCAGAATGGTATCAATAAGATTTAAAAAAATGTTTAAAATCACATTTTTTAACAAAGCCACAGAACTAAAATTATTAAGATTACTAAATTGAAAAGAAATTTTAAAAAAATTTTTATTTGGAAGCTGAAACCCAAAATTAAAGAACAGATCAATTTAGAATTAAAACACTCCGCCAATTCATATAAAATGATTTTGTTGTTAAAGGTTAAGATTTATGGAGATTTTACTGTATTTACATCACACAACTTCTTATCTTTTATTGATTGTTTTCCCCATGCATTTCTTATGAAATTAGTGCAATGTCTGAACGGCAATTTGGCTACACAAATCATTTTAACATAATATACAACTTCAGCTGTGGAGCCCAACAAACGAGGATGGCATTTTTATTGGCCTACGTGTCTTTTGTGCCATGGTTGTTGCCACAACACTATCTCGTCATGCGAATCTGGAATAAATCTTTCATTCCATTTCTGGTGCACGGAAGTCACGGCCACCGGTCAGCAAGTTTCGGCTGCGAAATGCTATGATAAATGCCAAACAATCCGAAACGCTGTCATCCTTATGCGGATATTCTATTTTCGCTGCAAATTCCATCGACTCTCGCCTCTTTGGCATAATTCCACAATTAGTTCAAGTCATGGAAAGCGTCAAATTTATGCGCATTCGAGGGAATCCCCGTTCAATGAACCTGTCCACATCAACGCACGACCCACTAAATTGAATTCTTTGTTTTGGCATCAGCCAGCAGCTTCAAAATCCGAAATGGGAAAAATAAGTTCAAAAAGCAAAGCAAAAGTTTTTAGCAAACGGCAATTTTCTGTTATTTCATTTGTTTGCCTGCTTATATTGCCCGACGTTGTTGCCGGGGTGCCCGTTTGGAATTTTAAATATGGCGTCTGTTTTGTTTGAAAACGGAAACGAGTGTCTGTCAGTTTATTTGTTTGCTGTTGATGATGTTGTTGCTGCTGTGTTGTCGTCTCCGTTTTGTCGGCAGAGTACCATTCGCAGTCCCAAAAACGAAGTCAACCAACTTTGGCAAAGGAAACGCCGCCTAATGTGTTAGTTTGTGAGCGACTGTAGGTCGGTGTATTTGTGTAACTTTGTTTGCGATTGAGAGGCCGTTGCCAGCGGCGCTGGTGAATGGGGATATTTATTTGGAGATATTCAATTTACCAAAGATAAGAAAAGATTTTTTAAGGCCTAAGCAAACCTGGAATTCAGACAGAAGAAAAACAAAAATGAAAGACCCTTTAAAATGTTCATGCACTGTGAAAAAAGGTTTAGCAAGCATAATGTGGATTGTTCATAACTTTAACATTTTAGAGACCTTAGTTTTGTTATAATTTAAAATTTATATTCGATAAGAGTAAGCAAAATTAATATTTTGTTAAAAAAAAGTTTAAGGTTCAAACACTAGTTTTTCCAAGACCCATCTTATTGTTCAGTATTTTATATTTTATCCTGTTTTATATAGTATTTATATTCGCTGACTGTTTAAAAATTAAACATTTTTCTTAGTCATATTTTTTTTATTGTTTTTCTTTCCATAAGCTGATTTCTTGTTATACTTCCACCCCCTTTTCGTAGAATTTAAGTACACAACATCTCTGAAATGTAGCCTCAAATTGCACACACACGCACACATACAAATGACACAATTTTCCTTTGAGCTAATAAAGTTGACTTTACATTTTTAATAGTCTACTTTTCGGCGCATTAGTTTTAATGCTTATGACGATGCTGTTTTGCATGTAAAATGCATGGGGTGAAGTCATC